AGAATACATTCCAATCAATTTAGACTAAGTGATTGTCTTTCTGCAAATCTTCCAGAGTTCCTTACTTGAAAACTGAAATAAAATGAACAAGTCAGGTAACTACATAGTTGTATATATAAAAAAAAAAAAAAAAAAAAAAAAAATGCTTTTCCAATATAGGCCCATCTATTCTTACGAACAGTGAAATGCAAACATGATACTTATGTGATTATTTCATCATGACTTGAGCAGAGTAGAATGTATTAATGTCAAAGAATCTCATTTGCAGAAAAGCATTAAATTTGTTTAGTGATGAAGTAGAGACATGTCAATGTGTGCCAAATTGAGCAGTATGCATCGTAAATTTCCGACATACCAGTGAGTGATGAAAAAAAATATTTCTTTGATAGATATCTAGCTGTTAAACATATTAAAAAGCAGTGAGGAATTCTCAATACTTGGTGTCCAATTTCTATTAGAACTATGTTTAGCACTTGACATGTCATTTAACCCTACTGCTTTACTTTGCATGATCATCAAGTGATATATACATCTATTGCATAAATTATCATATTTAATGATAAAAAAGACATTAAATGATTAAATAAAAAGTAATAATGGATTTAGGTTCTTAGCACACTTATCAATGTCTGTGTGGCGATTGGTCAAGTCACACAACTAATGGGGGGGCAGTGCAGGAATGGTTAATGAAAACATGAATGCAGTTGGAAAGCCTGGAAATTTATAATAAAGAATGTTCAACTCACCAAGGACATTCCATTTCCAGCTTCGGCTTCACTACCATAGCAGCCCTGGATTGGTTGTGCTGGCAGTGCCTCCAGCACCATCTAGTGACGGTCATGACATTTTGGCTGGGGTCCACCACCTCATAAAATCAATAATATTGGGATTGCTTTCATTATTTCACACTTACCATTTCTCACTTACCATTTCTCAAATAGGTATATTCACAGAAAAGGCAACATTTTACCTCCAGTGGTTCTTTTTTTTTTCTGAGGGGGTCTGAATTTGTTGGTATAGTGATCCAATATATAATAAAATATATATTTATAATTGATATATTTATCTCTAATTGTGTGTTTTTAATGTGGACCCATCACAAAACTTTCAAATTTATATATTATTATGTATGCTTTATTTACGTCATAGCAAGGTTGTTGTGTTGGCTGTCCAAAGGAAAGAACTGAATGATGCATTCTTGAACAATAACAATATCAATAGTTTCACGTCAATAAATAAATGTATCTGTTTCTTTCCCCGTTTATTAAAAACATTGTAATATTCACTATGAATTACCAGTCGATTGTGCTTTGCTCCTATATTGTTGGGCACAAGAGGCCACCGCTATGAGGTAAGGGGCAGAACATCAAGACTGGAACCTCAAGGCACCCCATCTCTCCACAGGAAACCCTCCTTCTCAATCTCTGGAAGAGAATTATAAACATTTCAATAAATATTAACCAAATATGTAAGAAAATACAAATAAAATAGCAATGTCTAAGAGTTTAGTTGTCTTCAATATTTACTTTTCAGCAAAATTTGAAAGTCAATTTTTTTTTCTTTTTGCTCGCCATTCCTTTTCATGTACTGGACCCTCCCCCTCCCCCCCCCCCCCTTCTACAAAAGCTTCAAAGGTTAATTCTAAAAAGAGATATATTGGAGGTTAACCCTATCTAGCCCGGGCTATTTTGAAACTGCATAGCCCGGGGGGGGGGGGGGGGGGGGGGGGGGGACTGTGAAGGCCTCCCCCTATGATCTCGGCCGTTGAACGGCCAATCGCTGCAAAAAATTGCATGCATGTCAAGTGAAGTGTATATATTACTATGGTTATTTAAATTTTGGAAAATTTTGAAAAAATGGGAAGAGCTAGGTTATCCCTTATGTTATTCATTCTATTGATTTGATAATTTCTTATATACAGTGTATTTCTTTCTTTTTTTAATTTATGTATTTAATTATTTTTTTTCTATTCTAACTATAATTTGAATATTTGAACCCCCCCCCCCCCCCCCCAAAAAAAAAAAAAACACCTAAACTATAAACAAGACCAAATAACCGATGTTTTATCTCTTTTTTTTGGAAAAAATGAGATATGTTTTGTATTTAAATCATGAAAATGAGTGATGTTCGGGCTGATATGCAAAGACAAAAGGTCACGTGACTTTGTAACGTTAGGTCCGATTTTCAAAAAAATTATTTCTAAAGATGCGCAAGACTTGAAAAAAAAAGTCACAAAATTTCAGTGCAAGATTCTTTGGTGTTAACAAATTATGATCGCAAAAAATGTAGAGGGGGGGGGGGGGGGGTGGGGCTAGATAGGGTTAAAATTACACTTTAAATAAACACTACAGCAACTTTTTAGTAGAGATGTTGATGCATACATAGCCACCCCCTTAAAAGGATACTTCTCAAACCAGCCCTTTGCATCCCCCTCCAACTTGACCTCACTCATTTCAAAATTTCCTTTTACTTGAGAAAACTAAACAGATCCAAGTTATAAGATCCAAGGTAAATATGTTTACCGTACCTTCTCTTGTGGTGGTCTGTTCTCTCCAGGACATTTTGTTTCAAGCACATACTCAAAGAAGACAAGCATTTGGTACTGCAACAAGTCGCTCTGTAAATTTACCTGTAAAAAAGAGAGGGAGAATTTGATTTAGAATTTTTTTTAATGAGCATTATGAACATTGATGAGCATTTGCAGAATTAACTGTGCTATTGTAATTTGTATTTTCTCTTTACTTAAAAAGCCCCCTTTCATATATCTACCATTGAAATTTATGCTAAATTTCTTGATCTCAGATAGATCATATGATCTAGATCGATGTCTTGTAGTTAAACTGTTTATTCTGTCAAATTGAGAAAATGCAAAATAAACATGGATCTAGCTAGTATGAGTAGACTATGACAGAGTCAGAAAACTTAATCATGTTCACGACAAAAATAATTTCAGATCGAGATAGAGTCTTTAGAGGCAAAGCCAACAAAGAAATTAAAGATAAACTTTAGTACTGGTAATGTGATTGCATTGTGAAAGAAAAGGTGTGGAAAGGATCAGAAACAGTTGATCATGTAGCATGTAAGTATTGGTGTGCACTGCAAGGTTCTGGAGTCATCAAAATCATAATAAATTTGACCGAGTCTTGGTAAATTAACACGCACTGTACACAGAAAGCTATATATGGGACAGCACACATGGTGTCGGGGCTAGTACTACCTTGATTTCCTTGTCTTTCTATGCTCATTACTCAGCCAGTACACATTTTCTTCCAAAATTGTTTGGCACATGTCATTTATTTGTAATCTTGAACATTCAGTGCAAGTTTCGTTTGATTCTGTGAGAATTAATTTTCTTTTTACCAGAACTGGAGTTTATCTTTAAGAAACACAAAGGTACCACATCCACTACAGTCCTAGGCTAGGCTAGCCTCTTGTCGATGGCCCTAGCGCTGTCGAAGTCCATAAATTCTGGCGAGCACTTCTGTTTATCTGGCGAGCGAAGCGAGCCAGAAATTACGGACTCCAACAACGCTAGGGCCATTGACAAGAGGCTAGATCTAGACTGAATAATTTGGGGGATACTAGTAGTAGACCCCTAGTAGATCTACTAGATTTAGATTTAGATTTTATTTTTAGGCTTAGATCTAGATCTAGACCTAGATCTAGCCTAGGCCTATCAATTATCATCTTTTTCATCAACAACCAGGCATGACAACGTGTGTTAATGTTAGATGGCTACGAGTATAGCCTAGTGAAATATACTACTAGTACTAGACATTGTTTGTGTTCTTGCAGTTTATTGCAGTTTCGATACTTAGGTTGCAATAAAACTGAAATTTTCGGTTAGTAAACCCGACAGCCAACTCAGCTCAGCTCCGGATACAGCACAGTAGAGGCTGCTGCAAAAAGGCCCGGCACTAGACCGGGCGCTACACGCAGCTTTCGCCTTTGACTCGTGCCCACTGCACTAGCGCATGAAACTGGTCAATCACTCGCACACGAGCTCTCATAATTAGTCTTTGTTTAACCGCCGAAAAAAGTATTCAAAAATCAAAAAGCACATAGATGTCGAGTTAAGAATTTTGTTCTTCGTATTAGGGAATAAATATGACTTGTACTTACGGGATTTCTACGAAAAACCATTTCGGCATAGAAGTTGGGTTCATTGTGTGATGATTGTCGCAGACGACGGTGAAGCGAAATAAAGAGGGTGGGCGTGGCCTAATTAGTCAGAAGGCTCGTCCCACTCGATTGAAGATTAAAAGTCCGCTGACAATTTGTCAGAGCTTGTTATAGAGCTTCGTGAAACGGTTTTTAGTCAGCGCTGACCATTTGTCAGCGCTGACAGATTTAGTCAGCGCTGACAGTTTTCCGCCGACAAATGTTGATGAAACACCCCCCAGGTTTTATGAATCATATATGACTATTCAGATCCTCGGTCATTACGATTGTAAATGTTTACATTTTCAAATCAAATGCTATCACAAAGTCTTTCAAAATCGGATCGTAAGCAGGTCGTATGAGTTGCACCTGGCTTAAAATGGTAGCCGAGCTAAATCTTGAATATTTGTAGCAATACTTTATAGGCGCTTGGAGCACATGATCCCCCTTTAATGGAAATATGCCCGACATAAAAGTGTTTTGGTTATTTACCAAAAAAGAAAAAAGAAAAAAAATAACATACCAAGAAAAGGTATATTTTTTATGAATTTGAAATCGTGGAAAAGAAAAGTTTGCTTCACTGGTTATGGATTGTGCTTCATAACAATCTAGATACTTTGGCTTTACAAAAATATCCTGTATGCCCCTTTAGTGTTTAGTTTATTTAGTTTAGTTTATCGTTATTCTAACTAAAAAACTACTTTACAAGCAAGTAACAAGTATTTAGCTAATTTCTACAGATAAATTTGTTTTTATTGAAAAATAATTCACGAGATATATACATCAACTTGTTTACTTAATTAGATAAGATTTAACAATTTTAAATGAAAACTACTTACAACGGCAGTCACAAACAGCGAAAACCAGTAGACTGGTAAATGCAAGATACAGAAAGCCCATGGTTGCAAATATTGGCATCCGTTTGAATAAGTCCTCATTCAAACACCAACATGAAGAGAATGACTGTCGAGCATTGTGCCTGTTAAGCTTTTAAACCGCACCTCGCGCAATTGACCAGCGTTCCAAGAAAAAGTCAACGAACATGCATTGCGAACGCGAACGTGCACAAATAAGTACGCTGAACTCGAGCATTGGACTTGATCAGATCTTAATTAAACAGTTTTAGGAGCTTCTTTACCCAATGTTTTTTTTTTTTTTACATGGCATTCACCATGTTATTGGCATTGTTTTGAAATTGAAAGTTGAACATGGTTTCACTTCATAGAAAGTTAAAATATGATTTTGAAATATCACACGACGACTACAAACCCCATTCCCTTATAGACTACTCCATCCTTCGATAGGCAAATCAAGACTAAAAGTATCAGATATTTCTAGACTCAACCTGTGACATTTATATGTTGATATTGGTAGTGATATTTAGCCTGTTCGGTTTTGATAAACAGGACTGCCATTAAGAAAAAGGTCCCATACTACGTTCATAACCCAACAAGATTACTATTTGTAATTCCAAAAAATACAGGGGTACAACATTATCTGAAGAACAACTTGAATGAGTGCTTCATGTTATGACAGGCTGTGTTTGTTGTGTACGGTATAGTTATTCCTAGATTTGTCCTCCATGTTTTTATTTTTGAGTGCTTTGTATGAAGCAATTGTAATTTATTTTTCTACTATTTCATCTATCAAATTATAGATTGTAACTTGATCTTGATCTTGAAAAGCAGGGGTATAACTACAATTTGTTGTACAACTGTGTATTCATGACAACTTCACACGATTGAACTTGAATAAATATGGATGACGGTAGTCTTTGTCCTAGCAGATCCAGAAATCGAGAAAAGCCGGGTGTGATGGAGGTGGGGTAGGGGAAGTGGTGGCACCAAATGTGACCTTGGGAGTGCAGGGGTACTATGCTACCTATATTTTAAAGTTATATTAATGAAGCCATTTGCCAAAATCTGGATCACCTATCATTACTCAAACGTTACCATACATCTCCAGTACATTTCAATGGGAGATAGCACGTACAAGTAGAAACCATGACAAGTTTTGCAGTCTTCAGCTTAAATCGGATTTTTGAACATGATCCCGATTTTCTTATCATAGTACATTAGTAGAGTAAATTCTCAGCTACAACATAATTAAAACATAATATAGCTCCAAACTGGAACATAATATAGCTCCAAACTGGAACATACTTTAGCTCCGAATTGGATTATTGTGCATTATCTCTAAGGTGTTGCCGATTTGAAATATATATAGTTTCCTAATCATTAGCAGTGGTCACAAAAATGTAATTGTATAGCCCAATAATCAAACGATAATATGTGTCCTTTGTAATGTCTTTCCTTTTTTAGTTTCATGAATATCAGAAATACGTTTTGCAAAATACGTTTGTCTTCTGTTAACTCAACGGTTCAACAAATATATGTGTTTTGAGTATTCAATTTTATTTATATTATGAATGTAAATTATCTTGGATAGAATTATTTTTTAGTTTGTTTCAAAATGAAAATCAAGAAAATCACTGTTGGGGGAAGAATATGCAGAAAAGTATATTACAAATAAAGTACGGGACACAATAGAGTCTGGATAGACAATCATATTTAAAACAACATCGGCGAATATTACCGAATCAAATCAAATTCAAACATTCTAATAGCGATCGTGATACATGACATTTTCCTTCCCTTTCTCTCTCTCTCTCTCTCAATCTCTCTCTATCTCCCACTCTCTCTCTAACTCTCACCCTCCCTCTCTCTCTCTCTCTCTCTCCCTTCCCCTTCTCTCTCCCTCTCCCTCTCTCTCCCTCTCTCTCTCTCTCTCTATATATTTTTTTTAAAGTTCTCTGGGACTTTTGTAGACTCTGTTGATCCCCTAGATCTTTTTAAGAGATCTCTGCCCCTGGATTAGGAAAAAGGGATCATGAGAGTTCAAAATAACAGGAAATAACACCCACCAGGTATTCGGCCTAGGCCTACTTTGTGAAAATATGAGGCAATGCTCCAAACACGATCTCGCAAACAAAGTATACTATCTTTGATGCAGGCCTACTTGTACTAGGCAGATGTCGTGATAGTTTTCAGACCCAAAGCCTTACTAGTCGTTGTGGGTACGGTGTCTGCACACCCTTACAAAAAAGTACCACGGTAACCATGTTTTTTTTTTCCAAATTACCATCCACCATGGTAACCATAGAATCATAGTACCAAATAATGACATTGTTTGAAAACCATATGTTTATCTTTGTTTGTTACAATGGTAATCATAGTTACCATCGTGGGTGGTAATTTGGACCCAAAAACATGGTTACCATGGTACTATAGTGACCAAACTTGTTTTTAGCTTTTCAAAACTTGGTTTTTCTTTTAAGAACACCGTACAGCTTATTGGGTGTGTCTAATTTAAGCATACGTTTCAGACCCGAAGCCTAATAACTTTAATGGTCACGTGGGTCTGGTGTACTTACGTTAAGGACAAAGTAGTCCCTTGATTATTTATCTATAAATTGTTTGTAGGTAAAGTTAAATGTACCATAATGAAATTATGATATTTTCTCATGTATGTTTTATTGTTCTTTTTCTAAATTGATTATTATACTTAGTTCAGAAGGATGTGCATTCATGCTCGAAAAGTAGTCCTTCTGGACGTGCACTATGTCAGGCAAGGCCCTGATGGGCATTTAATATAACGGACATTCGTTCACTTACTTTAAGCGAAGCTGGTTGTTTCACTTTACACCATCCGACGCGCTTTTTAAGTACTTTTATAAAGTATAAAGCCGTCAATGTAGCCTGTTTGTGTTGCGCCATTTATACAGCCGCTGAGGTGTAAGGTGTCTTTATACACACCACGCTACAAATCTAGGCTACAACAAACGATGACGTAGTATTTTCCTTACCCATGTGACACTTCGTCTATAGGGGGTTTCCGTTTTTTATTTATAAAAACGAATAAACATCTTTGAACTTCACCACGGCTTCCCATACTCTTCATTTTTGTTGGCTATGATTGAAACGGTGGAACACTTCGTCACACAGTCCTTTTTATAAGGGCAGTTCAGACAAGGCTGAAGGCATACTGCAAATGCTCTACTCAGTTGATTTGATGCAACCAGAGACTGACATAGCTAGAGTGAGCTCAATGATTTAGGATTTGTGGTAAAGTGTCGATTTAGAGTCTCTGCGTTCAGACTGGTTTCCGTGAGTGGCAGTATTGACCATGACGAGAGTTATAAGGGCATTATTACTCCGTTTTAATAGGCCTATCTAGTTCGAGTTATATTTTAATATCAATATTGTTAGAAATAAGGATGGATTCATGTATTTAATCGATTTACCTTTTGTTTTGTTTTTGTTTTTTTTTTGTGTTTTTTTTTTCTTGTGCCCAAAGACTTGGGTTTCCAGTCATGTAAAACCAATATAAGAGCTGGAGTCGCACCTTTCCGTTCTTCTCATTGACCTGCGAATCGGAGGTGAATGGTGTGTTGTTTGTTTTTTTACAAGATGCTACATAGCCCCCCCCCCCCCCCCCACACACACACACATACACACACACACACACACAAGTACGACGTGATATTTCAGTGTTCTTTGCTTTGATTTTTGTTTTGCTTTGTTCTGTTTTCGCTTGACCTTAAATTTGCGGACATATTACTTGTGCTCCTCAGGTCTACCTTATATCCATCAGGATTGTCAAATTCATCTGAAAATACGATCTAATTGGTTAAAGTTGATATTCTAAGATAATCCCAAATATTGATATAATTACATCAATATAAAGCTTTTAACCCCCAGAATAACACTAAATGGTGTCCAACTGACAAAAACAAGTTTAGAATGGTGAATTTATGCGATTAAATTCTACCGAAATATCTAAGTCTGAATCCCGGAAGTGCATGTCGAGTCGGGCCTCTCTCCGTGACGTCACGAACGGGACTCAAGGGCTCAGTGAGAGTGAGTGGCAGTGATATCCCTACGTAAATGCTATCCTGTCAGAGCTTAGATTTGTTGTTGTTAATGAGTATATTTGATGGATTTTCTGTTTTCATTTGAATGAAGAATAACGAAGCAACATTTTCCAGTCGCTGATTTCTTTTTATACTGTATGCTCATATTTACCTATCATATGGAAACGTTTGCTTGTATTTGACTCATAAAAGAATTTGATCACGAACTGACTCCCAAACGGTGTTGAGTACTCAGGGGTCATAGGCCACTGGCTTCATCGGGCAGGTAGTTCCATTATGTGAATGGGTAAATTAACTATTACAAAATGAGGGGACACATTACATTGTACAATAGGGACACACATTGTTTTTATTGTGCAGAACATACTCTTTTATTGACTTACTTATTGCATGGAACTATAAAACCAAAATGCATTTTGTATTCTAACAATTGGAGTACAAAGAATAATAACAGGTGAATGAAATGCATAAACACCACAAACACCTGGGGAGGAAGCATTCATAAATTTGAATACATATAGTTGATAAACGACTCCGATGAAACTATAAAACCAAAATGAAATTTGCGTTCTGGCAATTGGAGTAGAAAGCATGATAGTAGGTGAATAAAATGCTTCAACAGCAACACAAACACCTGGGAAGCTAGGAAGCATCCATAAATTTGAATAATTTAGTTGATAAACGACTCCGCATGTGGACGTTTGTTGGAGCAGAAAGCAGTGGATTCTTAACAACACGAACCCATTTAACAGAATGTCGGAACGTTAATTAAATTTGGCGCGGTTGGAAAATGCATCTTTCTACCCTGCGACTTTAATGGTACGATCCAGTAAATTAAAAAAGAAAAATGGGTCTTATTTTAAAATTACTCATTAAACAAAACCAAAAACTTCAGTGATATCAGAAAAAATATGTTATATCTTACTAATAATTTAAAAAAAAGATGTATAAACATTGTGAAAGTGTCGCATTTTACGATAAAAGACACCGATTTAGCGAAGATGACGTCA